AGAAAACGTCTTCGATACATATGAAGTCCCTGAGTGGCTCAGAGGATATCTTCCGCGACCTTATTTCACGGACAGCATGCCTGCGCTAATGAATAGGCTGAACATGGGTGAGAGAAGTCGGTATGGTGCGGTCAAAGAACGGGTCTTGTTAGAGCTCGGACTGTCGCGAGCTGAGGTCCGGAGGCCCTTTATTGAAACCACCACTTCTCTCTAAGAGAAACACGAGAACCCAAGGCCTGAAAAATCATCTGGTGAAGTGTTGTAAATGCAAGGAATTGGGGCACCTTTCCCGCAAATGTCCTCGGACGAGGACACCGGACGACGAACTTCTGTTTCACAAGAAAAGAGTAGACGCCGAGAATGTCACTGTGGAGAAAGATTCCCGCCGTGAACCGGACAAAGTGACGACCCAGGTGGGCAAGACCGATGGTAAAAACTTGGACCACTGAGGTCAGAAGAGGCCGGACCTACAGGTCCGCGAGGTGCCTCGGATTCTGTTACAGGCCGACAACACGAAGCGGTCGTCGCAGAACAATCGCAGCTGCGTGCCTGTGCAGGCGGACGTAGACGACAGAAATGAGATGAACGTCTCTCGTGCCTGGAGGGCGTCCCAGCAAGCCGAGGATGACCACGGCGAGCAAGTGAAAGTCGACGACGAAATGCCGTGCACTTGGCCGGGACGGCAAGCGTCCTGGCGATCTAAGGACGACCCATATGTGAACTTCGACAACATCGTGGCCGGTCCCAACATCTTACTTGGGTTGCACAAGTTCTGGAAAGCCAATGACGACCACGTGGAGAACATGGGCGTCTGTTACAAGGAATAACTGAGGGTATCTCCTTGAAGGCGGACGTTCCGGCAAGCCGAGGATGACGACGACGAGAACGTGCACGACGATGAAGGTCCAGACTTATTGCCTGGGCGCAGGCGTTTCTTAGAGCGGAGGATGATCACGACGAGAACGTGAACGTCGACGACGAGAAAGAACCGAATATTTTGCTTTGGCGGCAGACGTTCTGGCAAGCTGATAGTGACCACGGCAGGGAAGTGGGTGTCGACAAGAAGTCGGACATCTTGTTAGGGTGGCTGACGTCACAGCCGGCCGGTGAAGATGTCAGGGAAAGCGGGGACAGCGACGAGGACACCGTATTCAAAATGAAGATGTCCCAGAATATAGCTAGGGCGATGAAGACTCGACCACCTGCCAGCCGGCCACGTATGAGAGAGCTGGGAGTGCAGGAGACGTCCACAACGGCGACCGCCTGCGAGGCCCATTCTTGATTCGTACATCAGGACAGAGTATAAACTGTCGTCGCTCTTGCGCGGGGAAATTCCGGAACCAGCTATACACCGTCCGATTCAAGCCCCGTCGAAATCTGGATGGCTTGAATAACCTGTCGGCAAAGAGACCGAGGCTAGGAGGCTAGATGCTACGCTAGTCTCGGCGCGAGATTCGTCACTGCTGTGGAGCCTTGGCGGGCACAGTAAGAATCATTTTACTAGCATGTGATTGGCATATTGGTGTAAATTTCTTTTATAGTTTAGATTCTTACGGGTTGAGTCCCACACTCTGCGCAAGGTGTGACTGGTATGCGTACGCGTTTGAGTTTAGTTGTTATATATTATTTTTGACATTTCGGGTCTAAAAAATATACTTAGTTAGGAGGTGTGAGAATCGGCCCCGCCGTCACCGTGAATGGACGCAGGAACAGGACCGAGTTTCGTTTTCTTTCCTTTGTGTGTTTGCGTTTGCACGTGTACCCCTGTGCGTGGGTGAGCTGGCGACGCCCGTGCGGGCTGGGGCAGGGGGCATTGGAGAGAAGAGGAACACGAGGGGGACAGCACGTGGTGGGACCTTTTGCAAGGATTCGGAAATTAACTTCGCTTGTAAATAAACGTGTTTTTTTTTTTTCTTCCCCCTATCTGTGGAGTCCTGTCTGGTTTACTCTTCCGTCAGAGACCATCAGCTGCCTCCGTTGTCGGGTCCCGGCGCAATCTCGAAGAAAGAACATCTTTACTCCAGCTAATTTTCAATATCAGAACGCAAGGCCTACTACAATCCCTCGACATTTCCTAATGGATGTGCTCCATTGCATATTCGACAAGAGTTACCTCAGTGCCAAAATGCAACTGACTATTTGAATACTGCTGATGCCGAATTCATTGCTGTAGAAGTATCATTTAGGAAATCCACCATCACAATTATATATATATATATATATCAGTGTGTCGAACCGAAACGAATGCCGGTTCGGTTACGGTTCAGGTTCAGGTAGATTTATTTTGTTCCGGTTCAGTTCCGGTTAGATTAATTCGATCCGCTAACTGGTTCGCGAACCGGTTCGGGGCGCTGAACCGGTTCGCGAACCGGTTCGGAAATTATAAATGACAAATTGCAACATCAAAGTATATTACAAATAAAACAACTGAAATCAGCACATACGAAACGGATACATCGTAGTGTAAGGCTGAGGGATTTCTACCAGGAATGGTTTCTTATGTGCACTCATAGGTTACCTCACCGAGGTTTACGCATTCGGACTTCATCTAATTGGGTCCGACGCAGTAGCTGTAAAATCCGCGACCTCCTTACAAACCCACTTACAACTAGAACTCGCTAACTATCCCGCCACCTCGGCGTGTAAGCAATTGAAGGAACAGTGGGGAGAAAATACAGCTTTCTTTATTTCAACTAGCCTTCGGTAACTCAAATTAGACCCTTAAAGAAGTTTTCATTAAACAAGATACGGAATATGAAAACCACTTCACCGAACGCAACGTGAGAAGGACGTAATAGGATAAATATTAAAATGGAAGAGTTCGCTGTCTCACAAATATGTTAGCTTCTAAGTGCCTATACGAAACCGGATGCATTATTATCAAACTCCACAGCCTTTTCTTTTCTCATTCCCATGGAAGCAAGCTTCAAGAACTCGCGCGTTCTAGAAACGTGTTATGAAATGAGCACACAGCAGCATTTAGGATTTACGAGATTGTAGGAAAATAAAATCCCGTAACGCGATTTTTTTTTTTTTGCACAGCCTTCTAATTTTTTTTTTTTTTTTTCGTGCAACCCGCGACCAGCGCAATACTGGTTCCTATGTCAAGATTCATGGATGCAGCGTTTGTCAAGATTCATGGATGCAGCGTTTATATTCCTAAGACTGAGCGGAGAAGAAAAATATGTAAGCGAGGTATGTGTCAGTTGACGGCACTTTAAAAACAAATGGCATTGATAGCACATTCATTGTCAACAGCGCGTGGCCGAACCGTTTTAACATGAGCCGGTAACCGTTATTTTTTTCACGGTTCAGTTCCGGTTCGGGTTCATCGCGATAACAATATAACGGTTCGGGTTCGGGTTCAGATCCGGAAAAAATACCGGTTCGGTTCCGGTTTTCGGTTCGGTTCGGCTCCGGTTCGACACCCTGATATATATATATATATATATAGGGACCGGGCAGATACTATGCCATGGTGGACGCTTTGCAAGATTGGTGCAAGCAGTGAATCTGGTTTGATAGTGTGCAATGATTTTAAAGCACACCATAAGCTTTGGGGAAGAGAATAAATTGGCAACCAAGGTAGAAGGCTTGAACAATTAATTTTGGCGAGTGAACTCCGTGTAGCCAACTCAGATGGCCTAACTTTCCACAGGCCACCCTCTACTTTTTTCTATATCTGTGGAAGCTTATAATCATACCCTTAATAATTATTGGAAAATTGCTTCTGGAACCCTGAACGGTGATTATTTTCCCATTTGGACATCTTTGCGAGGGTACAGCAAGTCAAACACGATATCGTATCGAGTCACTATTTGGGACGACTTGCACAGTTCTATTAGTACATCCAGAGCTCCCATTATTGCCCTAAGTGAACTTATATACTTTGGTACATCATTCAGGGCCGTAGCCTCAGGCCCCCTTCCTTCAAAGTTATGGCCGTGCATCGTACAGATGCCCGTTTTTAGTTCCGAGTGATACTGGGACTATATACGAAGTAACCAAGACCAAAGGAATGTATTATTGTCCGGTTCAGATGCTCAGTTCCCACACAACGCGTCTTTTGTAACTAATAATAATATAGGTTTTATCTATAAAGACCCCCCAAAATTATTTCATCGATATATTTGTTTTACTTTAGAAAAATTATTATTGGGGATGCGATTTCATTCCGACATCACATTATATTTGTTTAAGGCTGCCTGAATAAAAACTGTACTTAAAAAGCGGTGACTTTAATCTCGCATTGTACTCCAATCTACAATTTGGTGTTTCTATTAAGTTTCCTTTTTATATTTTAATTAACCAAGTTAATAGCAAACATTAAGTTTTTACCATCATACCTCCAGTATTCTGATGTTAGACGACCAGTACATCCTTTAAAGGGTCCTGAAGTCTATTCTAAGAAGTATTTTTGTATTATTTCGTTTTCTTAGAAATGTAGCATAACGCTCTATCTGTTCCAGAATGTTCTCTCATTTTGTCTTTACAAACTAAATCACGCGTCAAATTTGAATAAAAAGCCGATGTACTCATAGCCTTAGTATGAAATAAAAATTTTACGTTTCTGTTAAATGCCTGGCCGGCAATTTCTAAATTTTAAAACAAGATAACTGCTTTTTTGTTCCTCTGAGATACACGTGGCACTCAAAGTCCAATAGCTTCACCGCGCCAATCACGAACTCTAATTCATACTGCGTTAAAATATCTTAATTAAATTTGGGTAAACATTTTCTTTGTTGAACGAAACATAAATTTCGAAGGGTAAATTGAAGGAAATGAACCCCCAGCTGCTTTTTCTAGACCAACCGACTAAAGTAAGCCAAGCTCTTGTTGATACTGTAGACCCTAGGAATTAAGAAAGACACCCAAACAATGCTGCCTCGCAAAACAGGTGCCAGAACCAAGACATACATTTTGGCTTTTTTCAGCATCACATCGACATGCACCACAGCCTAAAAAAGAAATAATCATGGGTATCTATGAAACACATCTTCTTAAAGGGAAGCACGGAGAGCTACTTTATTTAAGATCGGAAAAACGAAGTTTACAAAAAGGAGTCCTTTATTTATTCCGTCCACAACATAAAGACGAAATTCTTTTTAGCGAGCTTGACCAGTTGTACTGCCGGACAATGATGGTCAATGCTTGACATATGAGTCAGTTGGAATTCTTAGTTCCTGGCTGTAAAGAAGAGAAAATGTCACTGAGTTATTTATTTTTGTCGCATGTAAAATAAGTCGAATACAAGAAATGAGCCCAAATGCCGACATTAGAGAGGTAATGCTTTGATTCGAAAGCTGATCCGGTCCTATAACCCCATCATGCAAAACGTGATGGTCATGAAGCCCCCTCCAACACACCTAAACTCCAAAAAAAGGTGTAGCCTTACACTCTTTTGTCTCTTACATTCCAAAATTTCAGTTCAGCGTACAACGCACTGACGTCGAAGAGACGGCAACAACTTTTACGATGAGCTTGATAACGGTACGATATAAGTTATTAAACAGCTAAAGTTCGTATCAAAGACTACAGAAAAGCAAAACAAAAAACACTGAGGTTTTGCAATAGGGCCAACAAAACACTCTTCTTTTTTTTTTTTTTGTAGTCAGTAACACGTACATTAGCTGTTTCAATAAGTTGTACTACTCGGCTATCAATTCGCTTGTGAAAGTTGGAACGGTCAGTTCAACATCAGTGTGCTGTACGTCGAATTAAAATTTTGGGGAGTCTTATACGGGGAAATGGGTGGAACAATATGTCCTCTTTCTTTCTGAAAATGTATGTTCTCAAAAACTGCCTCTGTACCTCAGCCAGTCGCCTGATAAGTTCATTTATTTTAACTCCCAGTATCGTGTCTTTTTTTATTTATGGTATTGGAGCTTACAAACATTTTTGTTTAAATGGGAACATTACATGTTTCTAAACACAAAGAATGTCAAAAAGTATGTGGACACAAATCTCGACAGTTTTGGTGACCGCGCGGACTTAAGCCATTGTATATCATGACACTGTTTTGATGACCGTTCATCTCATTAGCGCATAACTATTCCCTCGTCTTCGCATGAGTTGAAACGTGGTGCCGCCAGTCTGCAAAAAGCCCCCAACCAGCTCCTGTTCTGAACTTGACGGCCGGTTTCGCAGTATTTGCGAAATTAAATACACGGATTAGTTTTTGCAAATGGGTACTTATAGCGCTGTTAGACTTAATTCACTCTTATAATAGAGGAATGATGAGTAAATAAATTAGAAAACATATGTGAACCCGAAGTGTGCCCGGGGCTGCCGAATAGATGACGCACTTGTTTGCTTCCAAACAAAGAAGGGCGAATAGGGAGCATTCACTGGCGGCCATAGCTGTGCGCTCGACTGCTGAGCGCTTGCTGATGGCGAGCTGCCCGAGCTTTTTTTTTTTCTTTTTTCACCGCGCATTTCACACCATCGAGACTGCCTGTCTAAGCAGCGTATTAATGTGAGCTCGTTCTGAGCATGCGCTCTCCTTCTATGCATACTTGGATAAAGATAGATGTGCTAAATATATGTAAGGCGTTAACGGACGCAAGTCATTTAAAAAAGATGTTGAAGTGAATATTCACAATTTGAGTATTTTGTGCTTCTTTTTAAACCGTAAATGATAAAAATTGCTTATTGTATAACTTCTATTTAGTAAAAATAGTGTTAGGAAGGTGAAGACGACAACGGGACAGTGGCACGCACGACCATCTAGCACAAAGCCCAACGTGCTTGCTCGGCCTCATTCTATCATTTGTCGCTGCTTATCCTATCCTCTATTCTGCCGACAGCATCATCCTAACAGTATGGTGGAGTTGCGGAACCATGCTTATCCCCTGCACTGAACACCGTCGCCGCTATCATCATGCCATGCTTCCTTATTGCTGCAGTAGTTTTTAATCTTTATTTCTTGGCGGCAGTTTGATACTTTAGACCCATGCTCCGGATAAAAAAAAACAGGACGCGGGATGGCCAAAAAAACCTGTTTTTCGTGCAAGGCTCGTCAAATTATGAGGCGCTGGAGAAATGCAGCCTTCTGCGTTAAGTCCTTATTTCGAACTCTTTTTGTTCGCCTTCCGCCCATTGAAAAGCATGCGGCAAGGGCCTTAGAACGCGCCTGGTATCGCTGCGCCGCAGCGTTCTTCCGCATCAAAAAGTTCGTCTGCTTTCCTCGCCGTCACCATGGCAACGAACGCCGAATGAATAGAAGCACGCACGGTACCGCCGCGTGAAGCTAGCAACAGCTGACGCCATTTTTACGAATGCCGTCTGCTAGCCAAAGCCGAACGCGGTGTGTCAGATCAACCGCCTCCGCCGGTGCGCCGCTAGCAAAGACGACGAAGCTGAGACACGCCGACGGCGATCGATCAAGCAACAACACCGCGGGACGGCTGCAGCGGCGGCATTTATTCGGATCAAAGGCCGCCTTCGCCGGTGCGCCGCTAGCAAAGACAACGAAGCTGAGGCACGCCGACGGCGAATGGGCGAGCAACAGCACCGCGGGACAACTGCAACGGCGGCATTTATTTTGATCACAGGCGCGAAATAAGCAAGAACAATTTTTATTTGAATCAGAACACCCGATATCCAAGTTGGGGACCACATACCTTTGCTGGGTCTTTCCTGTGAACTTTTTACAGAGACACGGGGTGCGGCATTCAAAAAACAGCTCCGTTTGCAAAATATGGGGCCCTGAAAAGGGCCGTTTAGACCGCTGCCAGAACCTATAACTGACATAACGAGCACTTGACAAGCGGTTGGCGCATAAGTCGTCTTTATGCACGCAGACGGGTGACAGGCTCAGCGCAGCGGATCCCTCGAAGTCACCGGAGCCGTCAGAATCCTCGCCCTGTCTGCGTCGGGGCTCTAGATTTTGGCGGCCGCGGCGACGAACGACTGGAATCTATCAGTGTTTCCGCGCGCCTTGTCTCTCCTACAAAACATGAACTTTGCAAGGTGACCAGTGAAATGGTGGCTCTCGCGCCGTCCAGATGGAAGAGAGTTTTTGACGTGGGCCCAGGTGCAATCCACCGTATTGGTGTGCGCACCAGTGTTCGCGTCGACAAAGTTAAGCTTATGGTTGACGGTGAGGTGCGTGAAGTGAGCGTCATCTGCAAGCTTGCGATAGCCAGCCCAACAGTCAGTAATTATTCTTGTTCCAGGGTGGACCAACTCGGCTATTAGCCCTTGCAGGGTTTTAGCGTCACGGGTCTCCACGGGAACAAGAAAGCAGCACCCGCTGCAACGCGCCACACCGCCGAAAACCCACTGGCCAGGCCTTAAATACCCGCGATGGTACTTGTGCCTACCGAACATACTCTCGTCTGGTTCTACAGTCACGCCGTCGCCACCAATCATGTCTGAATGCTTAAAGACGGCATTTAGCACAACCTCCCGACAAAGGCTCGCCCAATCAGTTATTGTCTTACTTGCGATATCAGCCTCCCGCTGAATGACGGCGCACGGTAGGTTCTGGCATCCGGAGGATGATTTTCATGAGTTGGAGAAGCGTCAGGTGGGTCCGATCCTTCGAAAAGGGAACCGCTTCGTATCGAGACTTCGCCCCGGCACTGAACTTTGACCGACTTCCTCTTGGGCACCTCACGAATCATCCACACACCGCACCCCCCCCCCCCCCCCCCCCTTCCCCCCCGTGTAGCCATCCGCAGATCTAGCGCGGACTTGCAGCTTGTCATCGCAGCTTCGCACTCTGGACACGCACGAAAACCCAGGAGCCAGGAGCAGGCCAACGCGCTAAAGCAAATTAATTGCTTCAAGAGGGTCTTTCATGGCGCCAAGAAGACGGCACAAGTTGAACACCATGGCACTGCGATGCTCGCCTCTGGAAGAACAAAGCGCCGAGGGGGAACTGCGCGCTTCTTTGCATTTATTATATTTATTTCATCCGCCATTTTATACCTCGTGACACAATTCTAACAAACTCATTGGTTGATCGGTCGTACCACACCATCGCGTGACAAAAAAAAAAAAAAAAAAAAAAAAAAAACGTTAAAGGTATGTTTACGGACGGCATCGTCACAGAAAAGGGAGCAGTCGAACCCAACAACAAAATGAAGTAACAAAGTGAATAAAAAAAAAATAAGAAGGGAGCCGTTGCGGTTTCGGACGGCGTCTTCTTTGATGAGAGGAGCTGCTCTGGCCAGAGCGGCCTGAGCAGCCGTGCTGCTCTGGCTGCTCGGAATATTCCTTTTTGTTCTTTTTCTTACTCTACTGGGTGCCACGACCCTTACTTGAAGCTAATTTGTTAAAATAATAACAAACAACGCGTTGGAACGGAGGAGGTAGAGAGTCTTGGCGTCAGAATTTGACGTGGTAGAAAAGAAAAGAAAATAACGAATGCACAATACATACCGTATGCCAAGACCGTTATACTCCGCACTTGGCGAGGCCTTATGACGCAGCCGACGACCGTTAGGCTATTTATTTTGTTTCTTTAGATTTTTTATCGTGACGACTACTCCACTGTGCCTCGGAGTCTCCAGCGGAGATCCGGCAGTTTTTAATTATTATTATTATTATCGTTTGAAGGGTACTCTTTCTATGCTGCTTCGTTCCTGACGCCATAAAAATATGGGGCGGGATTACTTTGCATCACGTATAAAAAAATAAAAAAAATGCATAAAGACGACTTATGCGCCAACCGCTCGTCAAGTGCTCGTTACGTCAGTTATAGGTTCTGGTAGCGGTCTCAACGGTCCTTTTCAGGGCCCCCATATTTTGCAAACGGAGCTGTGTTTTGAATGCGGCACCCCCTGTCTCTGTAAAAAGTTCACAGGAGAGACCCAGCAAAGGTATGTGGTCCCCAACTTGGATATCGGGTGTTATGATTCAAATACGGAGTCATGCGGTTTAGAGAAGCTCGTTTTAGCGAACGCCGTTTTACCGACCCCAGTTTATCGAATCCCTTTGTAGAGAACCCAGTTTAGAGAAAATGGCGATGAGCTTCCTTTTAGCGAATTCGGCCGCCGCGAAGCGGCGTGTACGGGTAAATCAGGAGAGTTAACAATTTTGTAATGAGCCGCCGTAGACTGCCGCCGCGAAGCGGCGGGAGCGCAGCAGGGGGCTTGGGTTAACACGCGCACCAGTGATGCACGCGCGAAGTAGGAAAGCCGTTTTTAAATATTGTTCCCTTTTCGATAAACGGCGTTTCTCTAAACTGAGTCTCTTCTTTCTCTAAACCGTGCTTCGATAAAACGAGCCCGTTCTCTAAAACGTGCTTCGATGAAATGGCATTCGATCAACTGTAGTAAACCCATTCAAATAAAAATTGTTCTTGCTTATTTCGCGCCTTTGATCCCAATAAATGCCGCCGTTGCAGTCGTCCCGCGGTGCTGTTGCTCGCCCATTCGCCGTCGGCGTGCCTCAGCTTCGTCGTCTTTGCTAGCGGCGCACCGGCGGAGGCGGTTGATCTGACACACTGCGTTCGGATGTGGCTAGCAGACGGCGTTCGTAAAATGGCGTCAGCTGTTGCTGGCTTCACGCGGCGGTACCGTGCGTGCTTCTATTCATTCGGCGTTCGTTGCCATGGTGACGGCGAGGAAAGCAGACGAACTTTTTGATGCGGAAGAACGCTGCGGCGTAGCGATACCAGGTGCGTTCTAAGGCCCTTCCCGCATGCTTTTCAATGGGCGGAAGGCGAACAAAAAGAGTTCGAAATAAGGACTTAACGCAGAAGGCTGCATTTCTCCAGCGCCTCATAATTTGACGAGCCTTGCACGAAAAGCATGTTTTTAGACCGGAGTTTGGAGATAGTTTTTTTTACAACAACATGGGTCTAAAGTATCAATGTGCCAGTGAAGGCAGTTTTTTTTACAACAACATGGGTCTAAAGTATCAATGTGCCAGTGAACATGCTAATGGGATGAGTGTATACAGTAATCCGCAGCGACAGACCGAACAACAGCCCATGGCTCCGCCGCCAGCCCCCGCCGAAACGCCATTACGAAATGAAACAGAAGGAGCCGATCGACGATCCCCCGCACATGTCCTCAGCCCAGACGTACTCGCGCTTCATGACGTGTCCCCGAGCCCCGACCGTGCCTTCGTGTGGCTGTGGCTTGTGCAGATGTCTGTAAGGCTGCGGATAGAGGCAGAGCTCGTACGGTCTTCCCATCTTCTTCGCCACCCTCTCTGTAAGTAGCTGCCCTTTGCTCTTTTATCTATGTGTCCTTGTGGGTCTTCTATGTCCTCATTATCAGCGGCTTGGTCAGCCGTTGACGTCGGTGAGAGTGATGTTAGGAAGGTGAAGACGGCGACTGCAGATGGCTGGCACGATGGCTGGCACGTGGAACACGGCGCGAGATGGCCCGCACGGCCATCTCGCACCGTGTTCCACGTGCCAGCCATAAATTCTTCAACCTTTGTCATCGCTTGTCGCTTTCAAGAGCATTGTGTTAACAGTACTATCAGTAAATACTAAAACTTGAGTATTTCAGTTATAATCCTAATCAAATACACTTTTGAGCACTCTTTGAGACGTGAATCTGCACATATCTTGCGGCCGGTTTTGGCATATCGAAGATATAAAAAAAAAAGCAATGGCCGGATTGAATAATTCATTTTTTGTTTGGATGATTCTATTCTTATGTTTTATAACTGTCGCATCAACAGTATCCTGTTTGAAACGCTTGGTGGCATAATAAGAGTCAGTAGACATTTTATTGAACCTTTCGATTTTAGCTCAAAGTGAACACACATATATATATATAAGTTCCCGTTGTTGTTGTTTTTTTTTTCAGATGACGTAGCTGCTTATGTTATGCCAAACAAATTATATTTGAAGATGGTATTTTATTTTCAAACAAGTGATTGTCGTAACATGTTGAGCTCACCTCTCATGTTTGCACTGTTTATTTTGTCCACTCAAAATAAATCTCGAACTAACCTTTAAATCTGCGGGAACCAAATGTTCTTAAAATAGTATTTTCGAATGATCGAATACTCCTCGTTGGACTTGTCTCGTTATTAGACTCTTCTCTTTAAAAAACAAAACAAAAAAATCATTATTTTCAATTTTTTCTCAATATATCTTTTTTCTGGTATTTTGCATTTATACTTCGATACGTCAGATAACATTCTTACTAAGCTGTCCGTGATAAAAGTGTCATTACTATCTTTACCTCCTTGCATGACGTGTCTTTTAGTGGTCTGAAGCCTCCCACCGGGCTTCCGGAGAGCGGTGTCTTCTTGACTCGTGCATAGGATACTTGTTTTAAGCCAGATGGTGAAGACAGTGGCCCATTCATATCGCTTTCATGTCCACACTTCCGGAAGCTAATAACAGAGAAAAAACAAGTTTGCAAATTGAAATGGGACAAGTTGAAACTTGTGTAGAGTGCATTCAATTTTAAGGATATTTCAGTCGCCTTAGATTTAGTGTGCAGGTCAATTTGTGTAACTGCAAAATGTCCCCGCAATATTTTTACCTTTACCGTGAAAATAGATTACTCCAGGTAGCACAATAGGTGCAACCGATGTAGAGCCGACCTGGGCAATAGGGGCTCGGGCAGCCCCTACAAAACCCACCTTGGAACCACGTGGACGTAGCGTGGGCATGCCCAAAATGGGCTGCCCCCGGAGTGCCGCTGTGGGTGCCAGATCGGAAATGCGAGGGCAAAGCTGGGTACAGCGTGTGCATGCCTCACTTGGGCTGTCCATGCAATACCCTCGTGGGTCCCACCGGGGCTACGCGAGGCCACTTCTAGTCCGGGCTGCCTGTGCCATGCCGCCATGGGTCCCACTTCGGCTATGCGGGGGCAGAGCTAACGCAGATGTGGGCCTCAGGGAGGCAAAGTATGGGCATGCACAACTTGGGCGGCCCGTGCAAAGCCCCCGTGGGTCCCACCTCGGCAGTGCGGGGCCCAAGCATACGAATAGAGAGGATCCATGGCGGAAAAGCCTGGGCAGGCCCGACTGGCGCTGCACAAGTAAAACCCCTACGGGTCTCACGTTTGCTGTGCGTGGGGCATGATAGCGACGGTGCGGGCTCTACATTGGCAATGCGCAGGCATGCCTGATTGGGTTGCCATGTAAAAACGCCGTAAATCACACCTCCGCTCCAGGGGGGGGGGGCAAGTTAGCAGCAAGGTGGGCTCCACGGTTGCAAAGCGTAAGCAGGACCGGCCTGGGCTGCCAAACTGAAACCCAAGTGGGTCCTACCTCCGCTCCGCGTGGAACAAGTGAGCAACGTTGTGGGTTCCAAAGGAGCAAGGCGCGGGCATGCCCAACTTGGACTACCACTGCAACTGCCATAACGGTACCTTTCGCTAGTATTAAGGATATTTACCGCACGTTCTGGAAATGCAACATAAGAGATCGGCTTAATTTGATACCTAATAACCGAAGATCGTAATTGTAAGCGTGAATGAGGAGATTTTGGCTCGCTAAACTTTACTAACTTGCTACTCAGCATGTATGTTGAGAAGGTCGTTCTACGTGGGCTAGAACATTTTACCCTGAGTATTTAATTTAAGGGTGAATTCGAAACAGGCTCATGAGAAAGTCGTATCTGTTTCAAAGTTAGGTGTGTGTAGATGGCTCAGGCTGGCTATGTAACCCGATTACCTGTCTAACAGGATTTTATATGGAAATGTATGCAGTTTTTTTTTTTTTGGTCCCAGTTTGCACACTTGAAATTCCCAATGTTTATGGGCGTGCTCGAGACGTTTTATTGATTTATCAAAATGGGGATATTTTCAGTATGCCCGCCAAGAAAGTGAGGCATGCTCAATTTAGTATGCACTGCAATACCCGACACCGTAAGGAAATTATGATATAACCCCGAGCAAAATGAGGTATCTGGGTCACCCCAGGTGGGCAGCCCACGGAAGCACAGTGTAGGTCCTACGAGGGGGGCCCATGTGGGTTGCCCACTTAGGCCCCCCGTCTGGACCTCGAGGGAGGCTGATGTGGGCTGCTCAAGTAGGCCTCCTGTAGGTGCCACGGGAGAAGCCGAGGTGGAGTGCCCAAGTAGGCCCGTTGTAGGTCACACGAGGAAAGCCCGGTGGGCAGCCAAAGTGGGGCCGACCTGGGTCCGAGTTCCAAAACAGGCGCAGCTCACATGGGACCCCCTTTTGGACCCCCTTTTGGAGCCCACACTGTGCCACGGGGGGGGGGGGGGGGTACCTCTGAGCGCTCAGTCTCTGCCCAAACAAAAAACTAAACTCCGTTTCACATCACGACCGAACACAACGAAGGCTAGAAGCCATCCCAACCAATCCAGTTCTATAAAATAGCACGTGACCGCTTTTCGCTCGACATTGCGACCCTCTCCCAGATCACATGACGCTTATGCGGCATTAGATTGTCTCTGATGTCTCGCAGCATTCACTGCGGTCGGTCCTAAGGTGAAACAGAGTATAACTGTTCGAACTAGATGTGAACGTTTCGGAGCTTGCCGTCATTTCACTCAAAAGTTTGATTTTCGAAAATTTTCAATGTGAAGTGGTGGCCGACGAGGCCCATCAACGCATGGTGATTAATGGCGTCAACCTCCGGAAACCGGTCCTATTTTCACTGTGTACATCGATGTGTAAGGTCATTCCTTCCCTTTTAAACGGTAGGTTCGCACAAAAGCACGGAAATCGTTAAGAAGAAAAAAAACGTGAGGTCATTTACAATCAGTTTGGTGTGAATTCCAGCCTATTCTACACAAGTCTTATTGTGACACTCCTTTGCTTCCAAAACGTGATTAAAGGGAAGCTCAAGAGGTTTTTGAAGAAAACAAATTTAGTAGTGAATTCTTCTAGAGTTTTTTATCCCGTGAATTTGAATATCACGTACGTTTTCTCAAAGATGTCACTAAATGCGAGAAAACATGAAGGACCTCAAACCAGTCGTTCGTCATACTACGATGTTTCGGCCGCGAAACGCGTGTCGCTTCTCTCGGCAGCGAGTGCAAATGCAAGCTTGCCGGGTATACTGCCCTGCACTGGCACCATCGTGGCGACTTTTTTTCACCTTATCGAAAATAGCAAAAGCGTGCGTGAAGATAGACGCTGAAGATGCTAAAAATGCGCGAGAGAGAAAATTCCGAAAACTACTTTTATGTCGTAACACTTCGGGAAGGAGGGGCTTCAGCAGTACTTTTGAAACTGATGCTCTGCAGCCCATGTACGCCAAAATGAAAAATAATCTCGATATTTGTGATACTAGAGGCCAAATGAAGACGATTAATGTAATTCTACTGAAATACAGAACCGCTCCAGTTTCCCTTTAACAAACAATCCAGCTAACGGCGGCAGAAAAAAGGCGAACCGCGAAGTCCGCTATCGACCGCTTCGGAAATGCTTGTTGAAGGGGCGGGGATCTAGATATATCTGAAGGTTATGTCACTTTACTTCTCACATTTTCTCCCCACTGTCCACGCTGAAAAGAAATAGTGTGGGATGCATTAAATCCAACAAACGATTATTTTAAATCCCTTCCAAACACACACACTCACGCGCAAACACACGAACACACACCCACCCCTGAAAAATTCTGGTTGTCACGTCGACACTCATGTGCATTCTCGGGAAAGTCAGGTTCTTCGCGCCTTCCTCCTCATTCTAACTCACGTGGGCCGCGGGACGAGGCGGTCAGTGGATGTGCCGCAGTCTTCACAATGACTCGCAGAAGGAGGAACATACTGAAGGGGAGATAATTGAACAAACGCGGCGGCGTGCTGAGCGCAGTTGAACAGAAGCGGCCTGTTCGGTGAGTCGCGTACTGCAATACGACGAAGATCCCACTGCAAAAACACTAGAACTTCTCGGGCTGCGGCCAGAGGAGGGGTATGCGGAGGGCAAGTGCAGTCTTCTTCTTGCACAGGGGTTGTGACGATGTCAGAACACCGAGCTCTTACCGGCTGACTAAAACAAATAGTGGGTAGACCTGGAAGAATCCAGCGTTGAGGTCCACCCACTATCCTCTCGATCAAAGCCAATCGGAGCTCGGCGTCGTTCCGACATCACCGCAACTCCCGCGCAAGAAGCGCACGAACTTGCTCTCCGCATTGTGACAGTATCACATCTGTTTTTTGCAATGTGGCCGCGTGTTTATGAGTTGGGCGTCACGTAACAGGGTGACGCTTCTAGCTATGTGTTGTGACACAGGGAAGTCACACCGTCACGTAATGTGACGTGACGTCTGCGAGCTCACGATACCTGGTGTGGTTCACGTTGCCTGCATCACGTGACTTTGTCATGCGGTTGGTGTCACGTAACGCTGCGGTGTCACATTATGGCATCAGTAACGTTATCAACGTCACGTGATCTGTTCGCGTGACTGGAGTCAGCCTACAACTTCATGCTTCTGACATCACGTGAAAATCGTTTCGCTGATGACATCACTTGAAAATCATTTAGCTTATGACAGCACGTGATCGCCGTCCGCTGGCAGATTGCTTCGGCAAGCGTAGCACGCATTCCAAAAGTCCGTCACGACCCATCTTCTTTCGCCACGTGTTCCCTCCTTCTCCCGATTTTTACCCAAGCAATGAGTGGTGCGGCTATCGAGCCACGACGGACGGATGCACATAGACTCATGATCTGTTGCCTTCTATTACAGTCGCACAAAAGAAAACAAGAAAAGCTTACTTGTATCCTTTCAGTCCAGCGGTGGTTGATATCATTCTGGTGGAAGAAGCTATGCGATGCATTGAGAACGTGAGAACCCTTAGTCCCGAATTCATTGCGTTGATGTACCTGAAACGCAGTTTCCCTTTTTTAAATCATTATAGCCCAAACTCACCGGGTGAAGTTCATTGGTGTTAATTAGGGTCGTGACTTAGGATACAGTAAGGTGGTGTTTTTTTTTTTCCTGGACAAAGATTTTTCGATGAAGAAAAACAATTTTAATGGCGCAGCAAGTAAGAAAAACCGCAAAAAGAAATGTTTTTTTTTTTTTTTTTGCTTTTTTTTATAAAATTGGAGTGTGCATTTGCGAGGCCGAGGAACGTAGTTGGGTGGATAGAGTTTTCTTCATTTTAAGGTGTTTTCTGACTTTAACGTACTCTTCGAGAGAAAGGAATACATAAATAAAAACAGGCTGCTAGCAACTGAATTCGTCTGACCGAACTCCTTAATTGAAAAAGAAAAGTGGGCCCAGTACAGAGGAGGGGTAGGTTTTCATCCTCTGAACCTTTCACGAATTTCCCGCGGCCATCTGCGGACTCAAGGAAATGGCAAACACCCGAGACGCGGTGCACATGACCTCGAAACCTAATGACGTTTATTCTATGCGAAGGAAGACTCCTTCGGGTGAATACAAATGTCACACTCGTTCTGGATGCCATAAACCTCTCCGCGCCGCTTCTACATACGACGGCGCACTTTTCCCATGAACGCGGCAGTGCGACCTGTCTAAATTCGCCTGGGAGTTTTCGTGCCCCACGTAACCGGTGCTGTGAAGCAATAGCCGTGCAGTTCAGAGGGACCGTGCAGGTTCAGGCACCGTGACCTTGCGCCAACGCTCTCGGCTCTCTTCGAAAGTTTTTTTTTTCTCTCTCTCTCTTTTTTTTTTTTTTTTATGGTTCTTCTCAAACCCTCGCGCTTTTCGAGATGACCTTCCGCCTACTCGAAAAACACATGACCGAAACGATATCGGCAGCGCTCGAAAATACATTACTTGGTGTTCGCTTTGTAACGACGACCTCTTTACTCGCTCAACGGCAGGATCGCAACCAGTGACGGCAAAGCGATGACCGGGTGTCGCCCACGTGTACACCAGACCCTTAATGAGGTTCGCATTTATACGTCGTTTTTTCGCAAAAATAAAACGAGTTCCACGAGTTTTTAATTACGAAGATATATGGAGGATTTTATCTTTATTTTCGGCGGTCTTATCGAATGCTTCACTCTATTATATTTTATTTAAAAAAAAAGAAATAAGAATAAGGGCATCTCTGCACTTGATATACTTACAATACTATTTACCCATAATCACGAAACTTATGCCATGAATCTTTTGTTTCACTTTGTCGCTAAAATTAAGATGTAAATAAGTTAAAATTCCGAAGCGTTAATATTTTTCCACTAGAGAATGTGTAATTCAATATGGGTACACACAGCTGCGAAAGCACAGCATTTACGAGATTTGGATAAAGGCGCCACAACAATAGTCAGCCTAAGAAGAGCAGGGCTTGGCGAGCATCTCATTACCGCGTTGCAGCCAATGGGATGGCTGCATTAGCTCATAAGAATGCCCAAGAAACACACTCTAACAAAAAATGGAGGAAAAAGGTAGCAACGGCGCGTCTTCCTCCCTTCTATTGACGCGCCCCCAAGCGGACACGACAAGAAGGGAGGAACCAGACGTTTTCCTCCTTCTCCAGGCAGACGGGAGAAAGCTTTCGCCCTCCCGACGCATCTACTTTCGGTTTCGTTTTTTGAGCACGTCGCGCACGTTGTTTAATATATGTTGTTGAGTCCATTGAGCTTCAGCGGCAGCAAAGGCCGCCTGTAATTCCGTCTTCTAGTCCAAACGTGCAGAACATTTCGGTTGCATTGACGTTTTCACCACTAATTTTATCAAACAAGCAAACGAAGCAGCAGAAAGAGCGAAGTTCCGGAGCAGTGCCGGGAGCGCTACGTACACTGGGTAAGACGGCCCTCTCTGGAATGCGGGGCCCACGCGGAACTATAGTAGCGGAACCACGCGGAACTGTGTCGACGTTTTCGACGTTATGGAAATTGCAGGAACTCCGTCCAAGGCAGGCAGGAATCGCATTGGAGCGGCTCGATTTATTGGCTTTCAAATATTTACGGCATGATCGAGCGTTTTCCTTTTAATAAGAGATCCATCCCCTGAGCCATTATAAATACTCTAAGATGTATGTCATTGCTGGAAAAAAATCAACATACTGGGAATATTTTTTATTGCTTAGGGAGTCTCCGAGAAATTGCGTACGTTCAAAACGACCAGTATAAAAGATGGAAACGCAGAGCTCAGGAGTAGTCATCGCGGTAGTGTGCTGTTGTATTGATGTTTGTGTGTGCGATGCATGTGTATGCGCTCAATGTATGTTCAGCTGATGCTTGCAGTATGCGCAATGTGTCTACATGTGTGTATAAAAGAGGATCCCGAAGCGCAATGGTGACGTGAGAAAATAAAAATATTCTTTGTAGAACATGAATTGGGCGGTACCTAGCGCCACATAGCCTAGCTACTTGCGATTACTCTGCTTGAGCCTGCCATCTGGTGGCAAGCTATTTAACCTCCTTTTACTCTACGCGGCTTCGCCACAATTTCGTGTTACCCTGCCGAAATGAGCCAAGAGGCTGCTTCGGATTTCCTTTTTTTTTTTGAGAGCGGCTTTTGGTTTTGCGTTTTCACTCCTCTGTGGTGTGCGGTTGACGCAACGGTTGAAGGAATTGTGGCTCGAGGAATAGCAAAGGTAAGACATAAAGTGCGCGAACTGGGTGCCGGTTGTCTCTGTTGAACATCGCAGTGCTGACGATGAGAAGACTGAGTGACTGCATGCTTTCGAAACGTAAGTTTCTTTACCTGCAGGGGTAAGGAAACTTCGGAAATAAATACAGTTCGCGGAAAGCTCGTGTTACGTTTTTATTTGCTGCTCCTCTCGCTCCGTACAATAGACTTAGTGTTCTTGTTAAGCCTTATCGGAGCTCGATTTGCTCGATTCGTGGCCGCCATAATGAGATGCAGTCGACGGAGGAGCTTTTGCTCCCCTGCTTTAGGGACGAAAGTTTATCCCTTTCTGAAGGAACATATGTGTCAAGAGCGTTCCTCCCTTTAGGGAGGACTATACTGACCCTCTTTTCTAGGAGTGCAATCACGAAGCACGGAGTCAGAACGTTATAAGCTATACCCCGCATTTCTTTAAAAAAAAATACTGCAGTGAAAAAAAATAAAGGAAGACACGTAAGGCTGCTGAAGTGCAGGAACGCGAAAGCCTTTTTACACGCAGCGCATTCCTAAAAGCAGCGCGTCCCGCTGTCGGCGGCTCGGAGAACAGCGGACAGCGCTCCTCCGCGACGCGACATGGTTGAAAGCAGAGCGTAGAACACGTGAGGAGCTGGATATTCCCCCTCCCCCCTTCCCGTCCGGGCCTCAGGCCACGCCTGACACGTGACGTACCCGAGAGGGGGAAAGAGGGGCGCAGAAAATGGGAATGTATGCCTCAATTCGCTGCTACAGACAACGGGGAATTTAGGGTGCCGTTTTTCGCGGCCCGGAAAGCTGATAAAACCGGTTTTCTCAATGGGACAGTTAATGTTTTCACACTAAAAAAAAAAAAAAAAATTAGAATCTTATTTGGGGCACTTAATTTGTTCAATAATTCTGCCACGAGAAATAAATATTTTCGCGCAATATTCTCGCCGTTAGACGCAGTTTGGGTGGTGGTCATAGCCCGCTCTAAGCCCCGGCCGCAGAGCAGTGGGCGCGCAGACTACTACTGGACTCGCTTGGCAGCTCGATCGAACACGCTAAAAGGCGCAGTGTCTCCCTTTCGCGGCCTCCGGTGCGTCTTGTCTGAATGTCTACCACCGCCTGCTAGTCGTGCGAGCAGACCCGAGGCAGCCTCTGGCATCGTCTGCTATTTCACCGCCGTCTATCGTAGTCCGCAAAGACCGTGAGACGCGGACACGAAAGCTACGCGTCGGCGTCGTCGGTGTCCGGCCGCCCCCGTCTAAAATCGTCCGCAACACTCAGAAAACGCGACCATGAAAGCGGCGTTCTAGCCTTCCATCATGCACGAGCCACGGTCTGATTCAAGCGTCTGTCAGAGTCTATCGACATGCAATAATAAGCGACCGAGAGAAATAAAACAGAAAAAAATCAACAAAATCAATCTGCATTCCTTCTAGCTTTAATGTTTGCGTTATTTTTTTCAGGTAGCATAGTCCAGCAACGCGTACGAGCGTCATGACTCACAATCATAACGCAACGTAAAAATATTCGCCATAATAGGTCAGGTGCGCTGAAAAACTCGAGTTACTTGCCTTTCGAGGCGAAATGACGTGTACAAACGTAAACAAAATTGATGCGAGCCCAATGCCCGATTGCCTCCTGCCAAATGGCCCGCAAATTCTTACCACTGCAGGTAGCTTCTCGGTATTGAAACTACAGCTGCATTCATGACAGTTGCACAATTTACAAAGCAGAGGGAAGCTTTTACGAGAATCAGTGTTTATTCAACATCAACACGCGCCAAAAAACAAATCGAGCCAAATCGATGAAAATAATCGATGGGGATGCAAGACCTAGGCCACTCCCTCTAGGAAAACAAGAATTCGCTCAGCGCTTCCAAAGGCGCGTACTTGCGGCAGTTGCCTTCGGGAAACTACGTCGGTACAAGAGATCTTCCTTCAAACACCTCAGAGCACTCAAAACGACTGGCACTCATAAAAATAACGAGCTCAACGAGCTACGCCCGTTCAGCAGTCCGCAGATGCCGGCAGCCATGTTTGTTAACGTTCCAAGCAGCCATGTTTGTTAACGTTCCAAACCAAAACGAGAGAAGCAATCTCAGAATGCGTTTGAAAACAATACTGACTCTATCGTGATGCTTTGCTTCTCAGACATTAGAAAATAGTAGATTGAAATAATCTTACGGCACGGGGATACAAATTTACAGCCACCCTTTCATGCGTCAATCATCTCCCCAGCCAGAGGTGTAAGCGCCTTTACAAGCACGGGGCGGGGCTTAGCTTACCTCCACCTTCTTAAATTATATTGCGTCTAGCGACATAGATATTAACGAAAAACCAATTTTTGTGGCAATTTTTTTTTTGAGATACGTATTTACACTAGACTTTTTAGAAAAAAAAGAGTATTTTTTCATTGCAGTGTTGCTTTAAGCTTCCCATAAGTATGTTTGCTCCTAATAGCTAGGCTTTAGCCACAAGCAACTATGTTACAGAGCACGTGGCTGATTACGTTCACTGTTCACTCGGTGATTGGTTGTGCGCCCTCCTTGTCGGCTAGGGCCGTTCTCTCATTGGCTGCAACGCGGTAATAATACAGGGTGTCTAAAAATATATACAAAATTAAAGGGTTAATAAGTACGAAAAAAAAAATAAACTACATATTGCGAACTCTCAATCTCCATCCAAATCTAGCGCTAGCGGTACGAAGCAGACGCCGAAGTTTCAAAGCTATTTGTAATCTCATTCAAAAGTTGTAAGTGATGTTTTGTTTGAATTTTCATTAGAACGATGGCGACCTTGACACTTGATTTCATGGAGCTGAGTCGCGCCGGTTGGAGAAAATTTGCAAAAAAGGGTACCATATTTCTCATTTAAATTCTAAGAACATAACATCACTTGTAAATTTGAACGAGGTAACGGTTTGTTCTGAAAATTTGGGTTCTCCTTCTGACAACTAGGGCTACATTTGGAAGATTTCGCGTTAAACCAAGGAATGGTCATTTCTTGAGTCTGTTATTCAATATTCTGGGCCAATAGCAGCAATTTCGGTTTATCATTCAGCTTGGCTTTGCACTTCTCACCCCCTTGTTTAAAGATTCAATTCAGCATCGAATAAAGCCGCCAGAAGGCTCAGAGAGCAACTTACGAGAATGCAAGGATCGAAGAGCCTGCCTGGCTTTTCTTTGAGTCACCCTGTGCCGGCCGAACGGAGGAGAGTGAAGTCAGTGTCTCTCACCGTTAGCTCTGCTGCATACTTTTATAAGGGCTGGAAAAATCGCAAATAAAATATGATCAAAAGGACATGTTATTATCCGGCGCATGCGAAAAAAAAAAAAACAGAAGAACGACGAGACAGGAAGAGACACGTGTGTCCTTTTGTTTCGTGCTCTGCCAGATAAAAATAAAGCTCTTAAATAAGTTTGTTCCTATGGTGCAGACTGCCATTTCAGCCTTCTAAGCGACATCCGGTGATATTTTTCTAACAGCTGTCGGGATTGGTGGGCTTTGAAACTAAGGCCTGCAAACAACGCAGGATTGAGGTAGATGAATCGAAAGAGGATATGTTTGCGAGTTTGAGCTTGGAATCAAATAGCAATAAACACAGTATGTGTGCCTTTATGACCAAGGATGCACTATTCGAATATCACAAGATTGAAAGAATTTTATTTGGCTCATCGTTCTGTCCTTTTTTGTTCATCGTTTTTTGTGTTCATTTCTGCCCCAGGTCTTACGATTATAGTGACGGAATATACCACTTAACTGTTCTAGAAAGACACTTCAAACATTTCTTTGACATACGTAAGATTAACAAAAATAGTAGTAACCACTTAAGGCCACGGCCCACTGAATGTGGCAGTTTAGGTACTTTTTGGCAGGTCATTACTCAGCTGCTTTTAAATACTATTGTGTGGGATTGATGTCATTCGAAAGGCAATGCAATCTTCTTTCATTTGATATTATGTATGTGTTGGTTTTTACTGTTCATGCGCATTAGTAGCGTTGCAAATATGATGGCGCGGACCCTCACTTGCTCCACTAGTTCATGTTTTATGAACGACCCATTAAAGATAACACGGTTCCAATATAGCAGTTTCGTTAAGATGATGTCGGAGCAGAATGGAACGATATACTTTTTTGTTATTTGCACTACTTTGGTTTTTTCATCCCTCCAAATATTGCCCTAAAATTGACATTTTCCAGCGCAAATATGTTTTAATGACACGCGCTACGGCAATGAAATTAGCTACAGACGTAGTGCTTATAATTGGTAATATGCAGAGAAAAGTGTAATGTTGCGCAAAATTTTTTTTGTTTAGATATTTTATATCAAACGTAGCACTTTTTTGTGCTTCAATTCATGGTACTTCAAATGCCGCTGAGGAAATAATTAAACTATAATAAAATCTTTTTTAACATTTAGAGCTACAATGGTTGCCCAAGAGGTGGACGATGGCTTTTTTTTTTCATTTTCAAACTCATAACGCTCCAGGAGCGTTTCAAACTTACCTGTTTTGCCGCATATCTTTTTTGGACATCGAACAGATTTATTGGCATCTAATAATATTTATTGTTTGGAATAGATATTCATTGCGATCTATTAAATTTTCACAATGATCTTGCTTTGGGTCCTTATAGATTTATTGGCATCTAATAATATTTATTGTTTGGAATAGATATTCATTGCGATCTATTAAATTTTCACAATGATCTTGCTTTGGGTCCTTAATAGGTGTAGAGCTTAGCTCATTTTAAAAACAATTAAAAACTGTTTGGGTGTTTTGTTGCGCTACCTGGCGGATGGCAGACAAACTGCTGATTCCTAATGTTCGAAAAATTTCCGAGGGCGGCGTTGGCGTCTGTATCATCATCAATCTACGTGTCTTTTTACCCTCACCTTTAAAAAAATATATTGGAAGATTTACTATCGATAACTGAATAGTTTAAGTACTGGGTCAGGCTAATAAATCTAAGACAAATAATTACACAAGCGTAGCGGCATATAATATGTTCATTATTCGATATGATTGAAATCAATAAACAATGAAGACGAAGAGGAAAAGAATACACCCGAGTTCACTTTATGCCTAGAGTCACTAAATAAGCTTTAAAGTATCGGCACTCCGTTTCCCGAAATTGTTTTAAGCGCCTCCATTTTGGCTCTTGCTCAGTGCAAACGCAACTGCCGATCATTATGATCCAAAAGTACGACTTCCTCAGCACTCCCAATCGTCACGTCGCCTCAGAGTGGGCATGTGGAACAGCCAGTCATGCAGTCAGCTAACGCTTTCTGCTTTTTCTTCGTACAGTTCACGGCGATGTTTCGCGGCTGTCCGGCCCTATCAAGCCCGTGGTATGCCTTGGAGGGAGCGCGCTTGCCGCAAGTTTCCGTGCTGCCACAACCAGACATCTACTCCTCCCGGCAACCTTGGGTTTCTGCTGCACTCCCAATCGTCACGTCGCCTCAGCACAGCAGTCCAACGGCATCGACATTGACATCGTCACTGGATTTAAACTGCCGGCACGCCCCTCGGCCCTTCAGTGGGCATGTGGAACAGCCAGTCATGCAGTCAGCTAACGCTTTCTGCTTTTTCTTCGTACAGGTTGGTCCGTTTCCCTCTTTACATTGTAAAAAGTCCAACAACCTCTGTCTACTGGTGTTCCCATGCCCACAAGTGCAGTTTTTATGTTCTTGTGAATGTATTTCGGGTCTGCAGCTTCTCCTGTCTGGTGATATTGAACTTAATCCTGGCCCAGATAAGAAAGAAGTTCAGACAAAAGAGATGAGTGAGATGCTTGTTTTACTGAGAGGCTTAAACGCTCGTCAGGCAAATTTTGAAGCTGGACAGAACCGAATCATGGAGGATATTCAAGCTATCAAGACTGGGCAAGAGTCAATTGAATTAATGGTAACCGATATTCAAGGGAGGCTTAGTACTGTGGAAGCAAAGATAGCCAGTTTAGATATTTTGGAGCGTGAGTTGACAGATGTAAAAAAAACTGTAACCTTCCTGTCACGCGAGAACGCCAGTCTGCGATCACGTCTTGATGAATTTGAGGACAGGTCTCGAAGAGATAATCTAATATTTTACGGTGTTCCCGACTCAAACTCTGAGACCTGGGCTGTATCTGAAAGCAAAGTACGTGACATCATTGCAAACGAAATGAAGATCATCGTTCCCCCTGAGGGTATCATCCGTGCACATAGGCTCGGTCGTGTTTTTAACCCCAGTAAATGTCGGCCAGTTTTAGTGAAATTCTCATTATTCAAAACGAAAGACCATGTTTTTTTCCTCCAGAGGCAAACTGCGCGGTAGTGCCACTTCCGTCGCAGAGGATTTTTCCCCTGCCACTCGTCTTGCTAGAAGAAAGCTGCTCGAATTTGCTAAGGCTCATACACAGTCTTTTAGTCTACGCTATAACAAAGTGTTTTTTGATGACAAATGTTTTTCTTACTGCGCGGCCAGCGATGCCGTTTGTGAGGTCCGCGATTTTATCACGCCGAGCACGAGTTCCATTCGTGTTAATGCTGACCCTGTGGTTGATTTGTCAACGTCATCACAATAACATAACCTGATACGGAACAATCCTAGTCCTTATCTTTCAGTGCTTTTCACCAACATTCGAAGTGTTCTTCGCAATTGTGATAACTTGTCTTCAGCCATCGATTCTTCACTCGCCAACATTGTTGTACTCACTGAAACTTGGCTATCTAGAGTTGTACGCGACAGCGAAATTTTTTGTTGCGAGAAGCGTTTCTCTTTTTATCGATGCGATAGGCTATCTAGGCGTGGTGGTGGTGTCATAATCGCGGTAAATGATAGCATTGAGTCTTGTCTTATCAACATTGTTACATCTCTTGAGTTTATTGGCGTGCGCTTGCGTTTTAGCCATAAACAGGTTATTTTGTGCGCGTGCTACCGTCCTCCCAATGCCACAGCAAACTTTTTTATAGATTTACACGATGCTCTGAATACAATTCGTACAAGGTTGCCTGCCTTGCCTTTGTTTCTTTTGGGCGATTTTAATCTCCCCGGCATTGACTGGTCTGGTCTATATCCTACCATATCTTCAAATTCTGCTGCGTGTTCCGAGTTTTTAAGTCTCTGCTCCGATTTTTCGTTAACGCAGATAGTTACTAGGCCGACTCGTGTTAGGGCAACTTCTGAGAACGTGCTGGACCTTATTCTTTCTACCGCACCTGATCTTGCATCCTCTCTTACGTATTTACCTGCCATCAGCGATCACTGTTTACTTCACTTTCACCTAAGCGCTCCTGTATCTGCCTTTGCAAAAGCGAAGAATAACTCTTTTCTTGATTATGGCAAAGCTGATTTTGAGGGTATAAACCGCGAGTTAGCGCAATTTCTTGACTTCTTCCTATCCAATTTTTCCGAACGCTCTGTCGAGGTTAATTGGACAATGTTCAAAAATAAAGTCAATTCCCTTATCAATTCTTTCGTCCCACGTCGCTTTCTTACTAATAGCTCCACGTCCCCATGGTTTAATAATGCCTTGAAAAGGCTTTCAAATAAAAATAAACGCCTGTTCCGCACTGCTAAGCGTGCAGACACTGTTGAGAGCTGGACGGTTTACCACAACGCAGAAAATTTATACAAAAATGCAATTAAGGACGCTAAACAAACTTTCTTCAGCCAAACCTTGCCCCGTCTGTTATCATCTAGTGCCAAAATGTTTTGGAGTGTTATTAATGGCAAGAAAGACAAGGCTATTTTGCTTTATGACTCTGATGGCATTGTTATGTCTGACGATGACTCTGCGAAAATCCTCAATGAGGTGTTTGTTCAATCGTTTTCTAGGGATGTAAACTGTTCTATTGTTACTTACCCTAATCATGATTTCTTTCCAATGGACCCGCTTGTGTTTGATTTTGATGGCATTGTTAAGCTGATTGACAACCTCAAAGTGTCTTCATCATGTGGTATTGATAATATTAACACTAAGTTTCTAAAGCATACTAAAATTTACAGTGCAATTTTTCTTACTAAGATTTTTGAGCAATCTATTCTTACTGGTGTCCTTCCTGAAGATTGGAAAACTGGCAAGGTGGTTCCACTTCATAAATCAGGCGACAAACACTGCCCCGACAATTATAGACCCATTTCCATAACCAGTACTCCTTGTAAAATGTTAGAGCATATTATTTATTCACATCTTGTTAAATATCTCGAATCCAACTCTTTTTTCTCGTCCTCACAGCATGGCTT